AAGAGCATAAAATGCATATGATAATTAATTCATTTATCTTAGTAAATAGCACCATACGAATCATATGTTCGATTTAATTTAATTATTAGGCATTATATGACCCCATTCATTGCCTTCTATTGATTAATTTTTTTTTTTATGTATTCAATATATATAAAGGATAAATTGAGTTAATACTATTAAATAATGCTTAAGATTATTAAATAAATTGAGTTAAGCATATATTTGAATTATATATGTTTTGTTCTAAGAACCCTGATGATTCTTTGTTGATTTTGGTACTTTCATCATGATTAATTTTTTTTTTGCGAAGTAAAAATCAACATAAATGAACTGAAAAACTAAAAGAATAACTCACAGATCCAATATAATATTTAGAAATAATAATAAATATAAAAATAAATAAAACCATAGAGATTACAGATTAGAACAAATTTTCCACGTTTAACAACAATTTTCGTTACATTGCCAAAAGAAAAATGAGCAATACTTTGTATTAACTGGATTAATACAATTTCAAATACTAAGTACAAAAAACAAAAAGAGACTCGGTAAAAGGACCTGAAAATAAATTTAAATGTCAGAAATATTTGAACATCATGAAGATCTATAATAGAGAATAAATTAAATAAGATAGAGAAATGGAGCACAGAAATTCACATACCAGATTAATACTCATCGTGTAAGAAAACAAATCCTTGTCCGTACAATTGTTCCATTAAAGTACAGGAGGCTCATAAAACATTCCTGCTGAGTCACAGTGTATCTTTTTGCACTGAGGTTTATTGCAGTTTATCATATGCTTTTTCATCTGAGATTTCAAAGTACAGATCTAACATTTAATAGAGGATTAGTTTATATATATATATATTTTTTTTTTAAATAAGATTGAAAAATAACAACTTTGAATTATATTGCTCAAAACCCTAATTATTTTTTCTAGGGTATGATCTATTGTATATCTCGAAACCCTAATTTATATGTTCATATTTTACATGGATCTATATAGTTAAAGGCATTACTCAAATGGATCTAGGGTTTCATGATTAAAAAATAAATAAAAAACAAAAATGATGAAGTTGAAGAGAGATAAAGAAGATTAGAGAGAGAGAGAGAGAGAATGTTAGCCATTGATTGCAACTGCAGCATCATCAAGATTCTCATATCTCAGCTTTCTCAGAGCGACCACCACCATTAAAGAAAGGCCGAGAATAAAGCTATGTGAATCTTGATGATGCTCCACCTGCAAATACTGACTGAATGAGTGCCGTTGCACTCGATCTCCATTAAAAGTACTCAGCTAAAGGGAAGCCACTTCGAAATTATATATAACAAAAACCCTAATTGAAAAAGGTGAATGTTTAATAAAGAAAATAAAAAGAGGAGAGAGAGAGAGATATATGTTTTGAGTGAGGGATTAATAAGCGCAACTGAGTTATTATTTATAGAGAGAGTTTTGGAAATGTGGGATAAACAGATCATCCGAGATTTAAGGACTGGTTGGTGTAATTGTGTGAGAGAGATTAGAGAAGAGAGAGAAAGAGGAGAGAGAGAGAGAGAAATAGGAGAGAGAGATTAGTAATAATAAGTATAACAGTTAAGCATCGCAATCCGGGGTACGAAATAAGTAAGTATGTGAAGTCAGGCAAAAACATTAATCCTCGGAAAAGGGAAAACTTACACAGTAATGGTGTGAAATTAGGATTGGAGGATTTGTTGCGTCCTGCACAAGCATTTACGTTGTTTAGGGGGGCGGAATTGACATTTGACAGACACGTACTGTATCTATAATTTTTATTTATTTATTATTTTATTTCTTTTTTTGAATATTTATAATTTTATTATCTAGCTAGCTTCAAATTTTTATTAATTTATTTGCTTGGTTTTGTACATTTGTTTGCCATTTATAGCTTTGATCTAGCTTTGCCTTTCTGGTGCAAGAACTAGATCTCTACATCTGTGCTGCTAATTCAAATGTCAATAATACTCACACACATACACCCTCAAATGTGTGCGTTATTTAATCCTCAAAATTCAAACCATGTTTTAGTTGATATGATGTTACATGAGAATACAATTAACTATTATTTATTATGTCAATAATATATATGTAATCCTAGTTTGTTGAATATGTATCACATGATCAATTCACCTTTGTTTTTTCAACATGGTTTTAGATACGTACTAATCCTGTTTTCGAATTCCACCCCCGACATTTTCAAATATTTCGCCAACAATGATTTAGCTGAATATTAAATTATCGAACGAATAATTTGATTGAATACTATCAAATTGGGACGGAAAAAAACTATTATTTCAAAAAAATTATTAATTTATAGAAATTCTACGCTTAGTTTGAGTAAACCTTACAAAAATTCAACAGCATAAAATGCCATTTATCTTTTAAACTTTGGGATTAATAAATGCAAGGCATTAATTGTTAGGGTTTAAGAGAATAAACCGGTGGGGGGGAAACCGAGGTGCGGCGAACACGGAGTAGTGGTATGGCAGACAGAGGTGAAAGGCCATCTCAATATTTATATTTATTTAATTATTTAATTACAAATCCGAGTCATCCTCGTACCTTCTTCATCGATTCTATAGCCACTTCCTACTACTCTCTTTGATCCAATAGTTAACAAATTGTTTGCATTAAATAATTTTAACTTTTTAATTTGCCCATCACACTATTTATCTCATGTATTCAAATATACATATTAATGAAATCAAATGTTAATCTACAATATAATATACGATTTGAAGAATCTCTTTTAACAAATCACGTGAATCAGGTAGCCTATATGTTTCATAGAGGAAAATGTAGTTGTGATTATGGTACGAAAACTACAACGACCACCTGATTCGTTTAAAACCGGAACATGACCGGGGTCAACAGTTTTAGAATCGAATTGGAACCGAAAAAACCCAGTATGATTCTGGTTCCTCATTTTTTTAAATGAGAACCGACGGTTAGAACCACAGTTTTAATAGTTCGAACCGTTTTTAAGAAAAAAAAATAATGATTAAATATTATTTATACGGTCGGATTTATTAAGAAAAATGAAATTTCAACTTAATCTCTATAATTTAATGTTTAACTTTAAATTTAAAATTTAATAATTAAGTGAGCCCTTTCAATTTCTTTCCTTTCCTTTTTTTTTTAATTTTTAAAACTAAAATTAGTTCCTTCTAAATTTTTAAAAGTAAAAAAATATTTTTGAAGTATTTAAAAAAATATTTTTTAAGTATTGTAAGAAAAATCATTATTTTTTTAAAGTATTTGAAGTATTTTTTTTTTAAATTAACTATTTTTATGTCTTTCTTATATAATTTTAATATATATTAAAAAAAATAACAATAAAAAATTATCAGAAACGGCCGGTTCTACAGGTTCTAACCGGGAACCAAACCGTAAAGAACCGGGTATAGTCTAACTAACCGAACCGAACCGTGGTCGAGTCTAACTACAATTTTTTAACATATCTGAATTTCAGGCGCGTTTTGTGTCCGACACTCGAGGACACCTGCCGAAGTGTCGGACATCTTATAGATTATTTTATAATTTTTGAAAAATTAGAAACATCTTTAAATAGCAAATGTTTTAAATATTTTTGTGACATTTTGTAATTAATTACATGATATAATGTTTAATTACAAATTTTGATAGTTGGATAGTAATATTTATTTTTATTATATTTTGTATGAAAATATTTTAAAAAAATACATATAAATAAAAACTTATATATATATAGCATATTTATACAAATACCCCTAAAGTTTTAATATTTATATTTTTCCCCCAAGTTCTCGTGTCCTCTTTTTTGGGACATGTCATTTCCCATGTTCGTTTCACCATTTTCCCGTGTTGCTGTTTTTGTGTCTGTGCTACATAGGTAGTGCAATTTTATAAATACTGAGTTTGGGTTATAATAATTAATATTACATATATGTCATTTTTTTAATCAATATCATTTTTTCTCCTTTCAGGCCAAAAATCCATTCCATCATAAATTTATCTTACAACTAGTGAATTCAAACTTATAATACTCAATTCTACTTAATACATATCTTCAAACAATTTATAGGTAAATATCAAATCACACCTTTTCAATAAGGATAATGAAACATATATATTTATAATTTAAAGTTAGGTGATTTCAATTTCTGGAAAGTGATGTGAGACAACTTAACTAGCTTGGACTTGATTAATTGTGTCACATCCTAATTAAAGATAAGTATTCTTGATCTCAATAAAAAAACCCCAAGTATGAAGTATTAAACAAAAACCAAAAATAAATAATTTAATATTAATTTTTTTTTTTGCTATATATCATAGTTGAAAAGGGAATATGCTTATTATTATTTATTACTATTCACCAATAATAATAAAGAAACATGGACACCACCAAAAGAAAAGAAAACCTTAGGCATTGCATTATTAGTAACTTTAATAAAGTTAATTTAAAAAATAAAAAAAATTGATTCAAATGTACAACAACAGAAGCAAAGACCAGAAACCAGTGTATATTTCTATATATAACAATGCTGCTAAATTAGCCTTCCCAGTTGGATTTGTCATATCATATATTTTTTTTTTTTGATTTTCCATTTTCGTAAATTTATATTGTTGAATATTAAATGATGGGCTGGTGAGAGTCTTGATTATTTGATGCATCACCCGATGAAATATATCAGGTGATTATTAACCGTTGATCTCCACATCATTACACGTCACAGAAAATCAAACTAAAATTTTATGATCCCCTAAAATTGAAGGACGGGTCACGAAAGTTAATGAAGTAAACTATAGATTAAGTAAGATTTAATTATATTATTTAATAATTTGATTTATATTATAATTACATGAATTAGGATGGGTTCTATACTCAGCCGGCCTAAAAAATAACTATTGTGAATGTTATTTAGGATTAATTTGAATTTGATAATTGGACTAGGCCCAATATTAGAAAGCCCATACTGAGAAAAATAAATAAATAATTTAAATTGAAAAAAAAATATATATTAAAATAAACTTTAGACAAAAATACAATTTATGAAAATGATTCCGCGCCTCGTCGCCTTGAAGCGACGGCGAAGAAAACTTCGAGATCAGGAGGCCGGAAATATCCATCTTTTGGGGCTATAATGCAGACGGCGGCGGCGGCCTTCTTCCTGGGCGCCGCCGGGCACACCGCCGCCGCCGGAATCTTGTACCGGTCTTGCCGTGGGGTCTTGCACATGAGATCATGAACTTCCGCCTGCAACTCCATTAATAACACAACAACAACCCAATAATTAATCTGATATTATCCTTTTTTTTAATTTCCTTTTTAGAGAATATATATATAGATACATATATATGTAGCTGATTAGAAGAAGTGATTATAGTTACAGTGCATATATATAGATAGTAATTAGTATATATAATATATTGCCATGGCTTCTTACAGAAGCTGCGTATTTGACTTTTGGGGAAGCTAGCATCTCCAGTCTTGTGGTGGAAGCTGTTACCCAATTAATTACACACCCTGCCCTCCTCCACAAATTAAACCACATATTATTATTATTATTTATTTATTTTTAATTTTAAATTAAATTAAAAAATTTTAATTTTTTTTTGTGGCCTCCTTGCTTATTGGATATTTCGTAGTAAAATTATATAGGTAAAATACTTTAGAGGTATATATAAATTCAGTTAAGCCACTAAAATTGAAAATACTTTACAAGTATATGTCCACAAATTATATTATCAAATACACATAAGTACTTGATACAAATAATTTAGGACAAAATGCACTTCACCCCCTTAAAAAATCAACTTTTTGCACTTTCCCCCCTGAAAATATATAAAAGAGACTTTCCCCCTTCAAAATATAAAACTAGGAGCAGTTTGCCCCGAAAATGTATTCCGTTCAGAATTTCGCCGGATTTCAATAATGCGGCAGGGTAATTTCGTCATTTACATTTAAATGTCATTTTATATTTATTTTTTATTTTTTTATTTTTTATTTTCCCACTTATATTCCATTTTTTATCAACGCCTTTCTCCTCAAATCGAATTAGGGAAACCTAGAGTTTTCTTTTTCCCAAAACTCAAATCAAGCAGCGACAATCTCTCCAAATTGAATCCGCCAACTTAGGGTTCTTCTTTTCAAAATCAAATCGAATCAGCGGCCATCTCTTCTCCATCGACCGGTCAAAAGATTCATTAAAGGTAATATTTTTATCCATTTCTACGCGAAACTGGATTCGCGAATCAGGCTAGCTCTTCTCCATCGATTGTTGATGATTATTATTTGTCTTTATTTATTTTTCGAACATTTACTAAAGCTTTAGTGGGTAATTAGTTTGAATTATTAAATTGATAATGTTTGAATTTGTGTGTTCTGTGTGTTTTAGGTAGTTTGAATTATTAAATTATGGACAAAAGTTGATTCTGGGGCAATGTGCTCACTATTTTGGATTTTGAAGGGGCAGTGTCTCTTTTGTATATTTTCAGGGGGGAAAGTGCAAAAAGTTGATTTTTTAAGGGGGTGAAGTGCATTTTGTCCAATAATTTATTCCATAGTTTTAAGACTATGAACAAGTATGCATCATTTTCACAAAATTGTAGTCCGAATCAATAATTATGCAAACACACAGTTAAAATCGAACCAAATGTGTAAGAAATTGAACGCCAATACATGAAAGTCGAACTCTAACACACGTTACGATATCAAAAGTCGTTAAATTATATGCCAAATTTACGATTTTTAAAGTGTCGTATAATTTAAAAGTAAGTGAGTCGATTTACCATTTCAGCAATCAATTAATAAAATTGTTTTTTCTTTTGTTTATAAAATTGAACTATAAATGTTACATTTCACAATTATAACCATTATTTGTCAAATTATTTAATTTTTAAATATTGATATTTAATTAGTATTTTCCAACAATGAATAATCCGGACCGGTTCAGCCAAACCGGTCCGACACAAACAGAACAGTTCGACGAATGTCCAATGTATTTTTCTGCTGCAAGGTGAACGCAGTTGCAGAGCAGCAGCACAAAAGTGAAAGATACTAGGGCACGACTCTCTCTCTTCTCCGCAGAGAAAGAGTGAGGTTGAATTACGAAAATGCCGTTTATATCGAAGATACAGAGGCAGTCGGATTACAGTAGTTTCCCTCCAGACCATCCAATTGTTATCGACAATGGCGCTTCCTATTTCCGAATTGGGTATCCCCAAATTAAACCCTATTTCTGATTATAGCTGAAAAAAAAATTTTTTTTTTTAAGCATGCACGATTTGGGATTAATAATTAGGGTTGTTATGCAGATGGGCAGGAGAGAGCGAACCTCGAGTTATTTTCCGAAACATCATTCAGAGGCCTCGCCATAAGATCACTGGTAAATATAACTCATTGTTACTCACTGTGTATTTCTGCTCTTTCTAATTTTTTTATGGCATTATCGTATTACTGATATTTGATTGTTTAGCATATTATTTACTGGGATTTTATCTGTTCTACTTTATTGAGACCTTGGTCAGTGTAATTTTTAGTAAGTCTCTGTTATTTGAACACAAGAAATCTCGTAAATTATGTTTGTATATCCATCCGTGGCTTATTTCTTGCTCTATTAGAGGGTAGCACTTAGTGGAACGCGGAACAAATGTGTTTCTAAACAAGAAAAGTTTGAAGAATTTATCTAATAAAGTCAACTGGTTAGGAATCACCGTCTTAGAAGAATAATTTTGGTGTTTGGCGTTGTCGATTCCAGCCAGTTGTGATCCCACGATTTAAGATATTCATCAGACCAGGTGCGCAACCTTATGATGAGGATCTCAAGGAAGTAGTATTTTTGTCCGAAAAAATAAAATAGAACTCACATTCTATAATTTTAATGTGGGAAACTAGTGTACAAAGAGAGCTTATCCTGCTCTTAAAGTTCAAAACTCACATAGTGTAACTTTGAGTGGAAATACACGTAAAGATTGGATATGCAAGTAGGTAAAACTAAAACAGTGTTTTTGGTTTACGTGGTAGGGAATTTGTGTAAGCAGAAATTATGTAGAATCTAGTTTTGAGAAGAAATATATGATTATGTTGCATCTGCCAAGATGAGAAAGGTATGATAGTATTTTGTCTCGTGTCACGTTTGTTTGTGCAAATTTCTCAACATTGACTTGATAACAAGAATGGATGGCTAACCGAAGTTCTCACTAGCTTTTTAGACTTAATCTTTTTGAGCTGAAGTTCTTTATCCTTAAATAAACCAGATATATATACTCACCTTCTTAACAATGGAGACATAAAAAAGGGATTGAATCTTAATAGTTAACTCAGGACTATTGTCCTTTGTCCATAAAATCTTCTTAGATTTGCCATTCTGATGTGTGTTTCAATGATTTATCTGTTATTTAGCTTAATTATAAACCCACTAAGTTTATATCTACCTTACTAATTTCGATGACATTGCATCTCGATGGAATATGGCTAGCCTTACTATGAGAGGTCTTATTTTTTGCCTTTGCTGTTGAACGCGGTACTAACCAAAATTGTATTTATATTTATTTTCTGTACAGGTGAAACAATCACAGTTGTCGGGGACCATAATCCTGCATTACTGAAATATTTTGATTGCACTAGGTCAGGACCTCGCTCGGCTTTCGACGGCAACGTTGTTTATCAATTTGAGATAATGGAATATGTAAGGCTGATTCATTTATTCTTAGTAATCAATCCCTTGATATAGACCGATTTCTTGCAAATATATGTTAGTTTCTTGTCCTTACTATTCCTCCAGGCACAACTTGAATTTTCTTTGTCGTCTTTGAAATCCTGGTCACTTTAATATTTTGAGGGGTGTAGCGTTTTGTGTGGATGAAACCGGATAGCTTAGAATAGTAACAACAAGTACATAATTTAAACTCTATCTGTGGTAGTTCTGTGCCAAATGTCAGTATATTGGAGAACTTTCTGTCGTTTTAATCTGCTTTAACATAAAGCAGCAAGATAGGAAGTGTTTCTCATCCTATAGTCCATTTGGACACATCTATATGGCATAGTTGTGTTGCCATTGTGAACATAATCATCGTGCTGCATCTCAGAAGTATATTAAACTTTTTTTTTTTCTGGATTATTATGTTTATCAGTATCTTTTGAAGAGTTATAAAACTGACTGCTGCAATCTTCTGCCAAATAAGTATGCGCTGCATGTTCATTATTTCTCTTAAGATTTGAACAATTTTGTACCATTAATTGGACGTCATTCTATTCTGATACTTTTTTTGTTATTTCATGGACTTCCTTTTGGAGTAAAGCATGATATTTGATTTTTCATTGTTGTTGTTGTTGTTTCTTTCTTTTTCTTTTTTCTTTTTTCTTTTTTTTTTAATTTATTTTTAACGTGAACTAATTTCTCAAATTCTCAGTGCAGACATGTGATTTTTTGTTTAATAATTTTTTTTCCTGCTTTTTGATGCACATAGATCCTTGACTTTGCCTTTGATCGATTGGGTGCTGATCAATCACAGGTACGCCTGCATACCTTTTTTTTGTTAAGAACAAAGGTCTAAAAGCTGGAAATTGTTGAAGGAAAGGAAATTTATCTATGGATGTGTATTTTGTCTCATTTCTCCCATAATCAACAAAACATTAAAATTCTGGATATCACCCCATTTTCCCATCCTTATCTGTTGAATTGCTTCTAAACGACCATTACTTTCAACTTCTTAAGCTTTCACGGTTGATAGATAGTCAAACACCTTGCCTCAACAAAATTGATCTTAATTTGATCTGCTTTGATTCTATCTTTTGACAGTTATTACCCGCTCCTTAAATATCACACAATAATGTTGAATGCTTAATGCTCAATAAATCTAATGTACTGCTAATTTTTAGTGAACCGGCTGCTTTTGACCTTTCCAAATTTAAAAAAAATTGAAGTATTCTTTTAGTAATATAATTCATGCGAATTCTGAAGACAGAGCTGTACAAATTTACAAACCTAAAATGATAATAATTAAATGACTTCCCTTTGACATTGTTTGTGCAATTGTGATCCTTTTGTTCTTTTGGACATCACTATACAATATCAAGAAACTGGAGGAGGAAAGGTGACACGTCACCAATATAACAAAGAAATATTGTTTTGCTTCAGTTCCATTTTACTAGTATTCTGCGTCTTCGATACTTAAAAAACTTATAAATTTGAACTTATTAATTGTTGCCTAAGCTTTGTTTTAAACTGGTGGAAGAGCAGATTAACCATCCTGTCTTGATTACTGAATGTGCTTGCAACCCACACCAGTCTCGCACTAAAATGGCGGAACTCCTTTTCGAGTCCTATGGAGTTCCATCAGTAGGTAATTTTTATTAACTTTTTTTTTTTGCATCCATTTAGTGGGAGACTTTATTTGTATCATTGATATCTTGCTGTTTTTATACTAAAAAATATTTGTTTCTCCATGGCATTGCAGCCTTTGGTGTTGATGCAGCATTTAGCTACAAGTACAATCAACAACTTGGCATCTGCAGTAACGATGGTCTTGCAATCTGCTCCGGATTTAATACGAGTCACGTTATCCCGGTATGCTATTCTATATTACGTGGCTGATTGTATTTGCATTTGCTTTATTCATATTAACCTACTTATATCAACGAGTGCAATAAAAAATGTACATTATACTTGGTGAGGTAGTATGATTTTGTTCCGTTAGTGAAATAGATGCAGTAAAATGAATTGGATTTAATTTGATATTCCAGAGTTTGGAGCATTTACTGTGATTTCAATTTTTCTGGATTTTTTAAAATCCAATTTCAGTTTTTGAATGGAGAACCTGTTTATGAAGCATGCTGTCGGACTAACATTGGTGGATATCATGTCACTGATTATCTGAAGCAACTTCTTTCCCTTAAATACCCTCATCACATGTAAGCATTACAAAACTCAATTTGCACGAACAAAACAGAAAAAATATTCGATTAAACGAGACTTGCACTAATGGTAAACTCGTAAACCAGGTCTCATCTTACATGGGAAAAAGTGGAAGACCTGAAGATGGAACACTGTTATATAGCACTAGATTACGCATCAGAAGTTCGACTCTTTCAGGTAACTCTTTTCTCAGTCACTTAAGCGACTCAAATGCTTTTTAATCCGTCCACAATAAAATAATGATAAACTTATTGTCTTAGAAAGGGGACAAGAAAGCTGAAGAAAAGACGAGGTGCTGGCAGCTTCCTTGGACTCCTGCACCAGTCGAGGAGGCCCCGTCAGAGGAAGAAGTTGCTAGAAAGGCAGCTTTAAGAGAGAAGCAGGGGCAAAGATTAAGGGAGATGGCTGAAGCTAAAAGGATTAACCGAATAAACGATCTCGAAAACGAAGTACGAGACTTGGAAATGCTGTTACAGAGGCTAAGGCATGCAACAACAGAAGATGACGTCACATTGATCCTTGCAAAATCGGTACACAATTCAAAACAGGAAGTCGAATCGGCCTTTTCAAAAGCAACGCTATCTTTGCGCAAAGCAAAGGGAGAGCCTGCTGAAAGTGTCGAGAAGGTGGATTCTTCCTCGAGCGAAAAATACAATCTTATTAGTGTACCTGATGAGATGCTCACGCCTGACCAGGTTTAATAAGTTCGTTCACTCACAAAATTGTTTTTGTTTCAATATTTCTTGTTTTAAGTTTGATTTATGCAATAAGTTCTTATAGTGCTGGTTCTGGTGACATTTTTACTGAATTTTTTCTCCGTCTCCTTTACAGATTAAGCAAAAACGGAAACAGATATTCATCAAATCTACATCCGACGCACGGCAGCAGAAAAAACAGAGACAGGTCGAAGAGGAATTGGAGAGAGAGAGACAAAAGAAACTAGAGGAAGACAGACGCTTGTATGCTATTCAACTCTCATCTTTTTATTTGTTATTTTGACTGGCTACTATATTTTCTTGAGGGTTTCTATGTTTTTTTTCATGATAGAGAGAATCCAGAGCAATATTTGGAGGAGTTACGAGCGAAGTACAGAGATCTTTCCGAGAAATTAGAGCAGCGAAAGAGACTAAAAACAAATCCTGGACAAACAAACGGAAATAATAATAATAATAATAACAATAATAATCCATCCGGAGGGGTAGGTCGTGGAGAGAGATTGAATTCTTCACAGAGGGAGAGAATGCGTCTGTTGACCACAGCAGCCTTTGACCGAGGCAAAGGAGAGGATACTTTCGGAACGAGAGATGAAGATTGGCAGCTGTACAAGCTCATGAGCAGAGACAACGACGACGATGATGAGGATGATAAGCTCGATCCGTACGAATCGGAGCTAGCTCGTATCTCTTCTAGACTCCAGGTTTCCGATTATACCCCCCATCTTTCTCGTTAATTCCCAACAAGTCCTTCCTCTACATAGATTAGATGAGTTTATAAGTCTTTTAATTTTTTTCTTCAGGAAATAGACCCAACCTTTGTTTTTAAATCCGAATCGGGACCCGCTTCTGCAGAGGCGCCTCGTTTCCGACCTCTGACGAAGGAGGATTTTCAGATTGTGATCGGAGTGGAAAGATTCCGGTGCCCGGAGATTCTGTTGAACCCCAATTGGACCGGTGTTGACCAGGCGGGGCTGGATGAGATGGCGGGGGTTTCGATAGGGAGGCTGCTGCTTTTGAAAGTCGGAGAAGGTGTGGATGAAGAAAGAGTAACCGATTCGATTCTACTTATGGGTGGGAGCTGTCTGTTTCCAGGCATGAGTGAGCGTTTGGAAGCTGGGATTCGAATGGTTCGGCCTTGTGGGACCCGCATTAAGATTCTTAAAGCGTCGGATTCGATTCTCGATGCATGGCGTGGTGCTTCAGCTTATGCTGCTGCTGCGCGGTTTTCGAGACAAACTTTTAGTAGGAAGGATTATTACGAAAAGGGCGAAGATTGGCTTAGGAGTTACCGGTTGAGGTACACGGTTTGATGGCGGTGATGTGGGTTTGTTTTAATTTTTGTTTTCTTAGAGTGTATTTGGATTTGAGAACTTGGAATGACTCACAAGGAGATAAAATTTGAAATCCACCGTAATTATTCAAAAATTAACTTGCAAATGTGAGTTTAAGGATTTAAAACCGGTCTCTAGAGGGTTTAATCCAAACCAATTGAATGGGTTTGTTATTTTCAATGATGGTTAATTTTGTTATAACAATTACAAGAAAGAGTGTTTGGAGTTAATAAGTAGTTAGCAAGGTTAAAATCACTCTCTACACAATCATTTAAAAAAAAAAAAAAAAAAATAAACTAAAAAATAAAGTTGACAATCCGACTGCATGAAAATCCCTCCAGAAAATTAGCTCTCAACTCCATAAGAAAATAATAATAAGGGTAAATTACAAATACCCCCTGAGGTATGGTTAAATTACAAAAAACCCCCTCTTGTTTGGATAATTACATCTACCCCCTCAACTATGATTTTTTCTTACCTTTATGGTGCCAAATTCAACATAGTCATCTAGATTCCGTGAAATGTGCTCTAGTTTGTACTCTTTGTGTAAAAAATACAGTTTTCGATGCACCACAAACTGATATATACAAGCTAAAAATCACATATTATGGTCATCTTGCTTCATAATGTAGAGTTTGAATGGGATAAAACGGGTACAAAAGTGATAATATTCCATATCATCTCGAAGATTCCACTAAATTTGATGAGTTGAGGGGGGTGGTTGTAATTATCCAAACAAGAGGGGTGTTTTTGTAATTTGGTCATACCTAAGGGGATGTTTGTAATTTACCCTAATAATAATAATTTAAACTCTTCTTTTAATTTTAACTCTTTTTTTAATTTAAAAAATAATTTAGACTCTTCTACAAATAATCTCATTCCCAATTTTCTTTTTTCTTTTTCTTTTTCTTTTTTTTTTCAATTTTTTTCCATTAAGTCGAGGGTCTCGTTCCCAATTTTTTTTTTTTTACTTTTTTTTCCCGTAAGGGCCAGGCCGTTCCAGAGCCGTTCAGACCGTTCCGGTGCCGTTCCGATGCCGTTTTCCGGCCACGTCTCGCCCTCGTTCCGGAACGGCCGTTCCGGCGAACCCCTGACCGAGATTCCACCATCCACACCTATACTCCCTTCTCCCCAAGTAGTGCAAAAGCTTCTCCTCCTCTTCCAATTTCTTCATCAATTCAAGTTTCTTCTACTCCTCTTCCAATTTCTTAATCAATTCAAGTTTCTTCTCCTCTTCCGATTTCTTCATCAATTCAAGTTTCTTCTCCTCTTCCAATTTCTTCATCAATTCAAGTTTCTTCTCCTCTCCCAATTTCTTAATCAGTTCAAGTTTAACCTCCTCTTCCAATTTCTTCATCGATTCGAGTTTATCATCCTCCTCCTCCTCTGATTCCTCCTCCTCTTTCAATTGATTGAGGAGGTCGATTATCATATTGATTTTTGCCGTGCGCTTGTTCGTCGCCGGTTTCTTCTCATGCAATTCCGTCACTTGTTTAAGTATCTTGTTGATGCGCTTCTTCGTATCTGATTCCCCATCCTGCAATTTCGATAATTTCATGCCGGATTCATAACAATCCATCTCCCCGATCAAATTGAAACTTTTGGTATCTTCAAGTTTGAGAACGAAACCAAGGGTTTTGAGAGACAGAGAGAACGAATAGAATTAAATCAGGTCTTTCGAGAAGAGAACGAAACCAAGGGTTTTGAGAGACAGAGAGAGATCGCCTGTTTTGAATACGGCGGCGGCACCGGAAAAGATGTCGATGGAGAAACTGGAGAAGAAGAACAAATTAGCTGGATTTTGAGCTGCCTTGAGGGATTTTGATCATGGCAGATGCAAATTTTGAAAACATTATACTGCGGTTGTCAGACGTACGGATACGAGATCAAGGAGTTTACGGTAATTTTCTTTCTTTTTTATTCAAAAATTTAAATCATGTTCTCGATACTCATCTATGGATTTTCTCCAACCTCTCGAATTGCTTCGTCGTATTTCTTGCAAACTATTGATATAATCTAAAATTTAGTCCAACCATGTAATCACCTTGATACGGATAAAATAACAATCTCTCAGTGCTTAATAGTTCTTAAACTAGGGGTGAGTTTTTTTTGTATTTTGAAAATTGGATTTTTGGAAACAGGAATGAGAAAAACGGTTCCAAATTCGTATATTTTCGGATCAAAATCGGCATAATTCGAAAATTTTGGTCCGGTTTCCACCCATACCTTAAACTAAACAATGATGCCGGCCGCCCTTGTACATGCATATACGTACTTGTGTCAAAATTAATTAGTTCTCACAACTTGTTTTACAAATTCATGTGAAACAGGGTGGTGTGCACCTAAAGTAGTGGCATTAATAATGTCTTTCGAACTCAAGTACAACCATCCTCATTTGGAGTACTACGAAGCATCTAGCCAACATATCATCGATAATTTTTACATAGAATATCCGGATAATGTGAGGTTTTACAAAATTAATCCAGACGGGGATGAGGACTATGTTTGTAGCAAAGCTGAAATGGATTATTATGCAATTATTGGTACGGAGGGTACAAAGGATCTACTTGCATTCATAATGTCCAATGGCCTTTATTTAGAAAGGCAGTACGGATATTTTGAGAAAGTACAAAAGGGCATGAAGATGCTTCCAGTAAGTAAATAAGTTCAAAAATTATCATCAATAATTTATTGAATTTAATCTTTCATATATATATATATATATATATATATATATATATATATATATATATATATATATTTTTTTTTTTTTTTAAATTTTCTTTTTATTCTTAAAAGGGTGAAAAGATAAAGATAAACAAATTTACATTGATAGCTGAAAACACCCCACTTGATGCAATCAAAGAAATTCTGCGGAACGGACATCCTATCATTGGTTTCATACAAGCATCTTACGACTTAGAAAATCATTCTGGAGAGGTAAATAAATAGATATGATATTCAATATAATTATGCTTCATGCAACAGATTATTAAGGTATACATTTATTTATTTTTGTAGGGCGTATTTAAAATCAAACCTTCAAGTGGACAAGATAATTTTCACATGGTGGCAGTCATGGGTATTGGTGTTGACAGTTGTGGGGATCTTTACTATAACATCCAAAATTCTTGGGGTATTGAGTGGGCAAATGGTGGTTGTGCAAAGGTGTTGTGCACTTTGGTACACCTGGCAGGTTATGTGGAAGGAGCCCATATTGAGGTATGCTATGTAGTTGATTTTCTTCCATCTTAGTTTTTGTTTATTTTTTGTTCTCTAAATTTTTATTGCGGTTTGCATAAATGGCGGGAAAAGGGCGAAGGTCCGGCAATCGGGATTAATTGGGGGACGACAAACTCATGTGTAGGAGTGTTGGAGCACAACCGCGTCGCTATCATAGCTAACGATCAACGACACTTGACGATGCCATCTTATGTAGCTTTTACGGACATCGAGCGTATCATCGGATTTGCAGCTATGGACCAGGTTGCCACGAATCCCATCAACACCATCTTCAGTGAGTTTCGCTTTTTTTTCTTTTTTTTCTTTTTACGATTAGTTAATGCATTTTTTTTTCTTATGGACTTATGTGGTGATTTACACGCTGCTTTTCGATTGCGGTTGCGTTTGCGATTGCAGTTTGAGGTTTAACATGCTCTTTTAATTTGGACTTGAAAGTAAAAATGCCAAAAATCCTATCTTTAATTTACGGCAGATGATGAGGATTCATATTCAATATATATATCTATATTTTTCTTTTATTTTGTACCGAATATCGAAGTATTTTATATATATATTTTTATATATATATATATATATATATATATATATATATATATATATATATATATATATATATATATATATATATTCTTTTATTTTAAATCTTTTGAGGTAATAAAAAATTATAAAACACTTGTAGATTAATAATTTTTCCATTATTTACAAATTAGCCTCTATTGATAATCACCTTTTGTTTTTATGGACGGTTATTGAAATTTGAATGTCAAATTCAAGAATTAATTGGTTTAAATATATTATTGTTTTACCGTTCTTAAAATAACAAAATATATTTCCGGTTTTACCGGTACCGAACCAAAAAAACCAAATTAATTCGGTAAAAATCCGTACGAAATCGAATAGTTCATTTCAACAAACGTTACAACATTTCAAAGTATCGAAATTTCAGTAGGGTTCGATACTTGTCACAAGAATAACATGGTTTGAATCTGTGCATTTTGATGAGAATATGGTTATTGAATAAAGCAATCCCATATTATGAATATTCTATTTAGAATTCTTGAAAGGTGGGTGACATTCAACCTAAGCTTATTACTTATGTTACTAGTACATACAAGATTGATTGTCATGAATATGATTGTTTATTGTTGATTGATTTGTGACGCAGATGCCAAACGGTTGATCGGCCGTAGATTCAACGATCCATTTGTTCAGGCGGATATTAAGCGATGGCCTTTTAAGGTCATTCCTGGAACTGGTGAGAAGCCAATGATTACAGTGACTTATAAAGGCGAAGAGAAACAACTTGCTGTTGAGGAGGTCTCCTCCATGGTCCTAACTAAAATGAGGCAGATTGCAGAGGAATATGTGGGAACAACTATAAAGAAGGCTGTTGTCACGGTGCCTGCACATTTCAGTGACTCGCAGCGACAGGCCACCCTTGATGCCGCAGTCATTGCGGGGCTTAAGGTTGTATGGATTGTTAATGAGCCCACTGCTGCTGCCATTGTATACGGTCTCGAAATGGGAGCTAGCAGTGTCGATAAAAAAAATGTGCTTATTTTCGATCTCGGTGGTGGAACTTTTGATACATCTCTTGTTACAATTGGGAAGGGCGTCTTCGAGGTGAAGGCTACTGTTGGTGATACACATCTTGGAGGGGAGGATTTCGATTGCAAAATGGTGGACCACTTTGTGGAGATGATAAAAAAGAAGAGAAAGAATGACATTGTGGATATGAGTTGGAACCAAGGGCCTCTTATGAGATTGAGAACTGCCTGCGAAATGGCCAAGAGGAAACTCTCGATTGAAGACCAGACCACCATTGAGATTGATTCTTTGTTCAAGGGTTATAATTTCTTCGCCAGCATAACCCGTGCCACATTCGAGGATCTTAATAAGGATTTGTTTGATAAGTGCATGGAGTTGGTTGAAAAGTGCTTGAGGGATGCAAATATCGAGAAGAGCAGCATTGATGACATTTACCTTGTCGGCGGCTCAACTAAGATACCAAAGATCCAGCAGTTGTTGAAGGAATTCTTCAATGGCAAAGAGGTCCGCAAGAGCAGGAATTCCAAATATGCCGTTACTTACGGTGCTGCTATACAAGCTGCAAACTTGAGTGGCGAAGGCAAGATGGTTAAGGGTCTGCTTCTGCAGGATGTCACTCCGTTGTCTCTTGGTCTTGATAGTGCTGGAGGTCTGATGAATGTACTGATTCCGAGGAATACAAAGATTCCCATAAAGATGGAGCAAGGTTTTTCCACGTATTTGGGCAATCAACCTGGAAGTTTGATCCATGTTTACGAAGGTGAAAGAACAAGAACGGAAGACAACAACCTGCTCGGGAAATTCGAGCTCTCGAGTATTCCACCTGCTCCGACGGATGTTCGTCAAATCACAGTCTGCTACGAAGTTGATGCGAATGGCATCTTAAATGTGTTGGCCGAGGACAAAAAAAGGGGCCAGAAGAACAATATTACAATCAAGAATGATAAGGGGAGGCTTTCAAAGGAAGAAATAGAGAAAATGGTTCAAGAAGCCGAGAAATACAATTCTCATGATAAGGAGCATAAGAAAAAGGTTCAGGCCAAGAATGAGCTCAAGAATTATGTCAATTGGCTGCTGCAAGCCATTGAGGGAGCGAATCTTCTGGAGGATAATAAGAAGAGGGTTATGGATGCGATTGAGGCAGCTATTCAGTGGTCGAAAGCTAATCAGCTTGCCGAGGCTCGTGTATATGTAGATAAGATAACTGAGCTCGAGGGCATTTGCGCAGATGCATCAAGGCATTTGTGATCCTATATGTTGATTTCAACATATATGAGGGGATTTTGGTTTTTGTGACGCTGTTTTCAGCATGCTTTTGACTAGGGACCTAATTTTTCTTTTCTTTTTAGGTTTAAATTTGGAAGTGTAATTGGTGGCTTGGTTGGAACTGTTACAACTTTTGGGGAGCATAAATCATATTTTGCTAAGCAGCAGCAGCAACTAGAGATCTTTACAGCAATTCAAAAAGTAAATATCAATACATAAAATTGGGTTCCCAGTACAAAAACATAGTCTAATCCTGCATGTTATCTTAATGGAAAAGGAAAAGAGCGAACATGAAACACTTGTTTTAACTTTCCCTGTAGAGAAATTATATGTTGTGTCCCCCCAGATGCACGTTAGGTTATGTAATTTACAAGTAGTTACTCATTCGGTCACCCACTGATTCGACAACCACAAAATTCGCAAAACTAAACCAAACAAGGATCCGAAAGGGGATAAGTATAGCAGTAGCAAGCGAATTGTCAACATAAACAAGCTTAGCATTCATTGTTCCAGGCATTACAATCAAACATAATTCAGAGATACGAGATTCTAGATGCATAAAAGAAACTCTCGGTTCAACCCGATTACATGAATATCAACACAAATTAATATTCCATAAGTATATATATATATATATATATATATATATATATATATATAAGCTTCTCTGAACCTGGAACCACCTGCAATTGAAAAATCCCAAATGGTGTTAAATGCGAATACAACAGAAAGCTTCGAAAGAGTGTAAATTTCTGAAATAAACTGATAGACACTACATTGCAATTGAAAATACAACACAAACTGAACATTGAAACTTTCTCATGTCTCATGCTAAAAGATGTAAATTTTGTTCAAATTTGAGAGATATAAATACAGGTAGGTACAATTTTAAAAGGTGAAACTTTTCAAATGACACTTTTTTTGGGACACCGGGGAGCAATGTGTCAATAAATTGAACATCAAGGTCAGGATAAAGAGTGATTGATCTGTAAGTATATTCACTACATTCAAGAGCAATCTAAAATGTGAGTGAGTTTCCCCGACATTGATTCATAATAAAAATAATTAAAAGAAAATGCAAACTGATAACTTCCATAATAAACATAATTAAATAAATAATGCACACTGATAACTTCCATATAACTGTAAGTAGTCCAACATATCAACGTTTGGACAAACTCCAACTACTCAAAAAGTAATTATCCAACACCTTAATAAAGTAGTGAGTATAAGTTTTACAGCTATAAAACACACACACACAAATGGTAACACTTAGAAGTACATTACATTCCTAACAACAACATTTAAATATACTTCATGTCTAACTTTATGTGGCTGAGGTGGGTGAGATTTTAAGCTAATACAGCCGAGATTTGGCTAGTGACTATAATTTATGTGGGACACACTTAAATCATCGATGGAACTCAAGTACATAACAAATATCTAGTTCATGAAATTCTAATATTAGCCACTTGGATAAAACGATGAACCGGTGTCAGACAAAACAGGTCTCGGGTTGGTTTCCCAAAATCCTATTGAAGCTCCAACGAAAGGCAATTGCTAAAAAACAGGGTGAAATTAGGGGATTTTCGTTAAGAAAAATACCACATATTAGATCAAGGAAAGTTTAGTAAAGCTCAAATCAAGGCTAAGTAGAACAAAATTGAGTAACACAGTCCTCATCAACAAACGAGACAACAAGATAGTTGGTCATATTATTCAAAAACAAACAAACAATTCCAAGGACTCAACATAGCATGTTGAAGTTTAATTTTTGAAACAAGTAAAAAGTTCAACATATGATATGAACATCAAAAACAAGTAAAAATATGAAAGACATGTAGCAGCTTACAAAAAGAGATCAAAAATTTACATTGAAAAGAACAATTACCTGTAGCAGCTAATTAAGTGAGATTGGGTTCGATTTCAACATACGTAACTTCTTTACCAAGTCCACTTGTATGGCGAAAATTTGCGCGGAAAGTTTTGACATCATCACATTCATCAGGTTTGGCGGTAAAAACCACATGCGTTATAAATCCGCCGCTTATACGTTTTTTTGCTCTGAGAAAACCAACCACACTGTATTTGATAGGCTGCACAAATCACAATAATAATCATTAAACAAACACATATAAACTAAACATAAACAAAATTTGAAGGAAACAAAAAAACATTAAACCTGTCTTTGGTTGAACACGTCAATAGCCATATCAGCATAGGGTTTGAGCGATCGGATAACTTCGGGATCATCGGAATCGTAGGAATCTCGGTTGTACACTACATAGCGACCTCCAATAGGCACGCCACTCAATAACGCCGTCAGATGTGGTTGCATGTCCAACGGAGAATCCGAATCCGAATCCGAAATCGGTTCCAATTTCTTCTTCTTCTCCTCCTCTCGATAATTATCACTCAGCGCTTCCAATTTCAATTCCTTGATCCTTTGTACATTCATCTTCTCCAAATTCGATTTCGACGCCCGTTTCATACTTTGATATTTCATCAGACTCAGGAAATCGTTGACCGCCTTCTTCGAACCTGGTTCCCCATCATGCAATTCAGATTTTTTCTTGCCGTCGCCGGATTCAGAACAACCCATATCCATCTCTCTCCGATCGAGTTGAAACCCTAGTTGTGTTTTTCCCCCTTTTGGTATCTGAAATATCAATATAAAAAGGGTTAGCTAAGCCATGCAGTGGGCTGGACTTTGAGAATGGGTTGATTGGGCTCAAATTCCCCCCTTTACTTACTTCCAAATTCGGGATAATTATACTTTTGGTCCCTCATGTTTGGCCCGATTTCACTTTGGGTCCCCTTGTTTCAAAGTGAACAAAGTTTATCTCCAAGTTTCAATTTTTAAACACTTTTGGTCTCTGCCGTTACATGTCCGTTAGCAAGTAACGCAAAACACTATATTGGGGTGAAAATTGAAATTTTAATTTTTTTTGGGGCTGAAAAATAATTATAAATTGAAAATAGACTACTTATAATTAAATTTTAACAATATTAAGTATTATGAAACTTATTTAATTACTTTTTTATTATTAAAAAAATAATCATAAGTAGTATAATGAAAACTATATTAAGTATAATTCACAATCATTTATTTAATTAATTTATTTTTTATTGTTAAAAACAAAAGAATCGATAGGGCCGCTTCGGATTTTTTTATTACCAAAAAGGCCCCAAAACGTTTTATCATAGTGGAAATATAAAATCTTTTTTGGCAAAAAATAAATTATCATTAAAAGTTTAATTATAAGTACTATAATTATAATAATACTAAGTATTATAAAAATTAATTTGTTTAGTTAATTAATGTTTTTGTTATTAACTTTTTTTTTATCATAAGTAGTATAATTAAAAATAATATTACGTGTGATTAAAAATAATTTGTTTAGTTAATTTTTTAACTATTAAAAATTTAATTATAAGTAGTATAATTATATTAAAAAATAATTTGTGTATATATAAGAAATAATTATTGTATAAAATATACAAAAAATGTATATTTACTCGTATGTTGACCCAAAAAAAATTGCTCTCATATAGGGAAAATAGATACATTGAGGGACTTGATTTAAATTGAAATCTAAAGCTTAGGGACTTAAATCGAAACAAAAAGAAAGATCTTCCTTATCCTACCTAGTAAAGGACTTTGCTCTAATTTTTGAAAAGAAAAAAAAATAAAAGAAGGAAAAAGAAAAGGCGGCTCTTATTTATTCAGATCTGCCTTTTTATCCCAACCGTATGTGAGTTTCGAAATTGCACAGGAACGAATAGGAGAAGACGAAGACGAAGCAGCAGCAGCAGCGCAAACAAGTAGGTTCCGGCTGCAGTGAAAATCCACACAACTTAAGAACCCAAAAGATGGAATCACCTGCAATTGAAAAATCCCAAAAGATGTTAAATGCAGCTAGCAAACGCATACAGAAAGAAGGCTGTTTGAGAATGCAAATCTCTATAACACGAAACGGTACATACTTCAGACACTAGATTGCGATTAATTGGAATGTAGCAAATGGACAGTGTTCAATAAGCTACAGAGAATGCAACAGAAACTGAACATTGTTGTACCTCTCTCATGTTTCATGCTAGGTGATATAAATTTTGTTCAAATTAAATACAGATACGTACAATTTGAAAAGATCATACACCACTTGATTATTAGAGCCAAGAACAAGTTTGAATCCCCTTCCCTACTTTCTATTTGTAAAACATATTTGAATTCTTATTCTAAAGTACTATTATTTGGTTATGGAGACAATACAAGCGCACACATTATTTCTCGACTTGTCCAAAAGTAGTCGTATGCTTGGGGCATTTAATGTTGTATACACAAACCTATTTATATAATAGGTCCACTAAATTGAACGACATTTTAATCTCTTACTAATTATCTCCGGAAAAAAAAAAAGCACAAGTGTAGATACAATCTACACCATTGCTCCCACGACGAGCAGCCTTACTGACAAGTGATCTAGTTCACGACACTTGGCATAAATTGAAAACCATGGAGAAATTGTTTAGGGGTTCTTCGTTAAGAAAACAAAAGAAGAGAAACTACGAGTCCCTATACTTGAAAAAAATACCACATATGATATGAACAACAAAAGCCAGTAAAAATCATGAAACATATATAATACAGCCAGCTTGCAAAATAAATTATATTTACCTGTAGAAGCTAAGTTGAAGTTGGCGGGATGTATTCGATATCAACATAGGTTACTTCTTGAGCACGTCCGCAGAAATAACGAACATTTGCGTCGAAAGAAGTCACAGGACCTTCGCCATCACCATCGGGCTTGGCAGTAAACAGCACATGAACTATATATCCAGGGATTAAAAGCCTGGTTACTCTGACCACATCCACCACACTGTATTTGATTATTGGCTGCACAGCACATACACACACACACACACACACACACGCACACATTAATATACCAAATGAATTAAACCATTAATAATCTTAACAAAAATAATGAATAAATAAAAAAAAAAAAAAAAAATTTACCTGTTTTTGGTTGAAGACATCAATTGCAACATTGGCAATAGTGTTCATGCTTTGAACAGTTTCGGGGGGATAGGAATTGGAATGGCGGTGTTCATAAATAACATCATTATATATGCTATCAATGGGCTTAACGAGTCTACCGAAATACTTATTATTCTTCTTCCTATTCTCTGATAATCTATTGAATATTTCCTCGGCCTGGATCGTCATCGGTTTCCAGTCAGGTCCAAGCATCTTCTGGACACGCTTCTTCAATTCTATATCCTCTTCGCTCAATTTCGATTTTCTCTTGCAACCAACCTTCTCCATCTCTCTCTCCCTCTCTCTCTCTCTCTCTCTCTCTCTCTCTTCCGATCGAAACCCTAGTCGTTTTCCCCCTTCTATAGTTCTATTCCTTCAAGTTTCAATATAATAATGATAAAAAGGGTTATTAGTTATTACTTATTAACTAAGCCAAGTAATGGGCTCACAGAGGGAAACCATGAGTTTAGCCCCGCCCATTTTACCCTATATTGATGGGCCCGACGGGCCCAAGGCCCTTTTTTTTTTAAACATAAAAAAATTATATAGAATGAGTTTATAAATTATGGACTATTAGAGCATCTCCAACGCTGCCATCAAATGAGGCCCCAAATGAAATAACCGCCAGTTTGATGGCTGGAGTTTGAAAAAACGCTTCCAAGGGAGTCATCAAACCAGACCCCATTTTGGGACTCCCTTTCCTTTGCCATCAAATATGGGGTATGAAAAGTGGGGAGCTAAAATTTGGAGGGAACTTCCAAGGGTTTTTTTACATTAAATTAAAAATGATGACCCAATTTGGGGTTTTTGCACTGGAGTAAAAAACTTTAATAGATGCCCCAAAACACTGTATCAGACCCAAAAAGAGTGTTTGATGCCCCATTTTTAAGGCCTACCGTTGGAGATGCCCTTAGTCATTACCCCCTCTAGTGTTTTTTTAATAATGGGCGATCTAGCCATATTTTCAATATTCGTAGGAAACGCACTATTTTAATTAATCCCAAAAATAGCCTTTTTGGAGCCACGTTATTTTTAAACAAAAAAAACATACGAAATCAGGAAAATAAAATCGCTGAAATCGTGTGAAATTTTATCCCCAAAATCTCGCTCTCCCAAATATTTTAGCCCGAGATGCTGTTTGATGCCATTGAAGTTTTCTTTTTCTTTTTTTTACTCTTGTTTCTTGTTTGTTAAATATATCAAGACTGTGTGCTGTGTGTGTGTATATATATATATATTGGAGAAAGAAACTAGGGAGATAAAAAGTGTTGTTTGGACCGAGGTTTCGGAAACAAGAAGTTGATGGGTGTGGTATATATATAGCATATAGTTGTGCATACGGCATAGTAGAAATCAAGATATGCTTATAATCCATCAATTTATCTATGATTTTGAAAGAGTGACAGTGATATCTTATCTAGGTTTAAATTTTGTTCTTTAGTTGTGTCCTTCATTTGATTACGATCATAATACAATATTTTCATACTTCGTGCATACATATATTTTTTCGTATCTATCGATGGATTATCTTACCAAGGATCCCACCGCGCATCTGGTAAACCCGACTCTCGCACAATAGTCTGTGAATTACACGAGATAGCTAATCTACACTGGGATTTCAATGAATCGAATTCAAATTATTAAACGCGGTTTCGTAAGTCCGTGAACTAGGCTACCTAACGGGCATTTAAATGAAGCTAAGTAATTTGCATAAGTCTATGTTTGTGGCTATGGTTTCTTATTACCGCATGATTATATTCAAATCGAACCCATTTGGTTCGGATCTGGTCTTCCAAATGGGTCGTAAATTGTTCCAATCCAAACTTAATTAGAATTATTATTTAGAATCTTTAGGGTTTAGGGTTTATGAAAGTATAGGTTGAGTTGTTATATATGCATAGATAGCGTGTAACACGACCACATAAATAGATGCTCTCATTGGCCGTAGCCCAAGAATAATGCTCCTATCATTAAAAATAATGATTAGTCCAAATTAGTAAATTACTAATATTAACTTATTCCAATTACTATGTTCTATGAATCCGGTTGATTTTGACTTAACAATATTATCATTCTACTAATGTTGTTGTTGAATATATAATAATAATAATAATAATAATAATAATAATAATAATAATAATAATAATAATAATAATAATAATAATAATAATAATAATAATAATAATAATAATAATAATAATAATAATAATAATAATAATAATAATAATAATAATAATAATAATAATAATAATAATAATAATAATAATAATAATAATAATAATAATAATAATAATAATAATAATAATAATAATAATAATAATAATAATAATAATAATAATAATAATAATAATAATAATAATAATAATAATAATAATAATAATAATAATAATAATAATAATAATAATAATAATAATAAT